TGCGTAGTACTAATGATTATTAGAACGTTGAATACTATACCGCAGTGGATAATGAGCACATATTTTGATTATTTATTGTGTGTGAATTTCTAATGCCAAACTGAGTTTCTATTTATTAGTTCAAAAATAAAACGAGCTTACTCGAATCAAAGTAGAGTCCTGTAAGTTATATCAATCGCTAAGTGCCCTGTCTATTCCTTCATCTCTCTACATTCCTCACAGTCAGTCCAACTAATAAGCTTACTCCAATAAATCCTCCATAATGTGGTCCCACTGTTATTGATTCCTCTAATTTCACTCCGTCTTCCTGTTTACCCTGGATTCACTTAGCAGCCGGGGTAAACAGCGGTCATAAAGGGAGACTTATCGATGGTATGGGTGAATGAATAACTACCTGAATAACTAGGAAAAAGATGGAGAATTTTGTGTGGAAAAACGGGGTATGGTTTAAATTGACCTTTCTGCTGATTAAGGCTGAGTAGCACCACCTAACTTTGACGTTAACCGGTGTTTTTTGTATGGAGTTTGACAGATATTTGACGTTTGCGAAAGTTAAAGTAAGATGGTGCGAGCCAGCCTAAGTAGACTTGAGGGTGTGCTTGAGTTAAGCAATAAGTACTTATTATTAGTATTAGGTACTATTATTTTGAAACGTATACTTAGAAGAGCCCCAATTGACCTATCTTTATTATTTTAAAATACTTTTTTTAATTTTAAATTGAAAAATGTTCAAGAGCAAGGTTAATTTTTAAAGGACCGTAGGAGCCCAATGGCAAGGTAATTAATTCATTTATGTATATCATGTCATTCTTTGGCAAAGTCAATTTTTTTTTATTAGCAAATGGTTAATAGCTACGCATACTGAAACGACTTTACTAGCTTCTGCCTGCGGTTTCGTTCGCCCAATTCCAATAAAAAGTCGTCAAAATCCATCCAACATAATTGATTTAAGGATTTAACATCATACATCCCTCGATCCTAACAGACTTAAATTTAATAGAAACTTCAGTAAAATGGGTGCCTTTTCTTAAAAAAATTACATTATGCATTACCTTGAAGGCTTGAACTACACATTGACCTAAAAAACAAGACGTTACAAACAAACAAACAACCAATCCTACACTTTCCAGCCTAAAATAAATACATCGAGAACGATAAACATTTGGAATGGCCGAAACATACAGGGTGCGGCATAAAATCAGCATTAATTCGTGCGCGCGACGTAGGTAACTGCCACTCTATTGAACAGCCTGTATAATGCTTATGGCGCTTAATCGACTGCAGCTTTCAATTGGGCCAATGGATGGTGTTTATTTGTATGTGTGTTTTGTGAGTTATGTACAGTTAACTTCCACTGGAAGCTTTATTAATAACTTCTCATAATTCATTAAGTTGAATAAAAAATCTGTAATATCAACATCATATTACAATATTATGGGTTAAATTAGATTCAAGCGGCAGACATCGCCAACCTTACAACGACCAGAATGCAATATTATTACATTTTTAATAATCTTTAAAGAACGAATAACTCATAGCATCCATGATTGATTGATCCGGGTTCGGTCCCCGCCGCCGCTCGACTATTGTGGTGAGCTCACTCGTGACACAAGCATATTTAGCTTAGTACGAGGGGCTAGCGGGAGTATTAGTAATTTGTGTAATAACTAATTACTAATAATCTTTAAAAAAAAAAAAAAAGAAAGTAAGAAAAGAAAAAAATATAAAATATTAAGCTGTTAAATAAAAAGTAGTTTTTTTTATCTACAAAGAGGAAGCTATTGGTTTGGTAAAGTTTCACACATTCACAATAAACGTATTTTGAATTTGTATTTGAAAGTGACGATCAGGCCGAAAATGTAAGCATGCTTCAACCAAATCCTTCATACGAGTAGAAGAGTGTCACTATACATTTCTGATTAGATCCTGGTAAATAATTTTTAATTGACTATTATTTTTCAATAATAGCCTTACATAAATAGTAATACAGTGTAACCTATCGTCTTTCAATTGTTTCAGTCTAGGTACTTCCCTATTTTTATTAAATTTAATCACATATTAATAAAAACAACACTTCATTTCAAAGTGCCACCGTACTCATTCGATAACCTCGCTTACATTTAATGCCAAAAATCTGTTAATACTACTATGACGTCATGATTGACGTGTCATCACATTATCTCTCCCCCCACCCCCCCAGTCAATTCCAGGATGATTGTGAAGCGGCGAAGGCTATTAAATGAATTTTATATGAATTGATGCGTTTTCATTTCGGCTTTTGCCAGTCGAATGTGATGTTTGTGATTTTTATACCAGCCATTCCATCGAAATTAAAACCACCATTAAATTGAAATAATTAAGAATCAAACGAACTTACCTGTGATGTTTGATATCTNAAAACCTATTACTTATGAGTGTGGGAGTGTGAAACGGAACGCAAGGGAGTGAGTGAGACGGAATGAATGAGTGAGGAAGTAAGAACGACGGGATTTAAACAGAAGACGATTAGTATTAAGACGATTCTAAGACGTTCCTATTTTTTGTGGTTTATCCTGGAGTAAATACAAATAAAGCTGAAGAAATACAACCTGGGTTTCAATTCCTACAGCTTGGGGTGGGAATGAAATTGAGACCCAAGTTTTTAGGTCCATATCAAGTAGTGAAAGCTATAGGTACAGNGAACCCGCCCGCAAATCATCTCGCCATTCCGCCATTGTGAAAGTGTTAAGTGACTATTGACAAGTAATTTTATTAATTGTAATCATCAAATTCATCGGTTTATTCCAATGTTATCATGGCATAAACCGATAAATAAATAGTTGTTTTCTTCTCAATTTTGTTTAAATTATTGTCCTTCAACGTTCATTGATAGCACCCTCAAAATAATAAAACAAAATAAAAGTTCCAAAAAGTATCGATATCAGTAAGTATCGATACTTTAGGAGTACTTATTTAAGTAGTATCGAAAAAAGATTTGAGTATTATCGAAATGAGTAGGTATCGATACTTAGGTGGTATCGGAACATCCCTAGCCAAGAATATATTTACTGAAGAAGCAAACTGGAAGCAAACATTTTATTATTTTAACGACATGAAAGAATATATTGACAACTTACAAGTATTCGGCCAATGGTACAAATTTCCAGGCCAGGAAGGATTAAATTAAAAAAAAAAAAAAAAAAACATGCATCAGTGTGTGTCTTATTGTTATGAGTAAGTACGGTTCCTTGGGATCGGTATGAGTGCACCACATACAGGGACCATGGTTTTAACTCTTAAGAGTACATCGCAGGATATGTATTAAAAACAATGCTACTTTATACTTCTTCTACTGCTACTTTATTCTAATTAATTATTTGTTACTTGTGCTGTTAATTACAATTCTCAATCCGTAAATAATTTCTTCTTTCTACCGTGTTCGTACTACTGTCCTCGTAAAATCATCGTAACCGATTGTTGTAATCGGATTACATGAACATCACTCGACCATGTATGTCCATTTGGACATATCGGAATGGCACGCTTTGACGATCAACTTGCTGTATCTACTCTAATCTATATCTGTGATAATCACTATTGCGTTTGGCCGAAAATAGATATTGTAACGCTGCTTTTACACTGCGCGGGAAATTAAATTAGCCAAGCCAAGTCAATGTTAAAAGCATCTTAAGCAATACTTTCGGCTGTCTTGGGCGAGGACATTAGTAGATTCATAATTATTTGGCGGTGAGAGAGTTTATACAGCATAGCGATCGCCATTTTGCTTAATTATTATGCACGTACAGTTTTTATTTTTCGCAAAACGCATCCAGTGAATGATGAATGAATGAAATTGAATGATGATTTGAAGATGAATGAACTTTAGGCGCAGGCACAGATATGGAGAGGGCGCAGAGCCCCGATTACGGTAATTTTTAACGTCAACAATCCAGACACGCTTCTCGATTCTGCGATACGATTGGTCGTTCAACAGCGTACGTCAGCTGTTTTGACCAATCGTATTGCAGAATCAGAAACGCGTCTGGATTGTAGACGTTATGTTATAAGTTACCGTAATCGAGGCTAGTGGCATGAAGCTAAAGATAAATAAATAAAAGCTTGTAAAATGGAGGCCACACTTGGAACAAAAACGTGAGTCAAATACCTACTTATCTCTATCTCGCTCTCTGTGGGCCGACCTCTCTTTTTAGTGTGGACTGTAGTATTGCTATCTCCTTATTTAAATCTCCTAGTAAATTCTTCGAAATAGCCAATTCACTAACCAAATCAGAAGTTAAACAAATAAATAATTAAATATTTGAACTACGATTACCTAGTAAAATTAAAATTCACAAAATTGTCGGCCGTTTAAGCTTAATGTGTTGGCGAATCAGGGAATTACAATCCCAATTCCTGAGGAATCGGTACCATGTGGCAACATCGGCCCAATCCGGCCCATCATGGCGGTTGTTTACTATTTTGTTTACTATGCAGTTAATTTCGTTTGAGATTTTTTACAGGACCTAATCATTGTTTTATCACAAGAAATGGTGCAAAATTTTGTAGTGCGTGGCGTGGTGTCCCTGAAGTGACTTAAGATTCCACGCGTAAGTGTTTATTTCGTGATTTCCGACATTGGATCATTGTAAATATTTTTCACAGTAATTTCTTCCTAAAACGTTTTACCAGTATTAACACTTACCCTCTTACTAATAAAAAGTTACACAGCTGTTGAACACTGTTTTAAAATGACATTTCCATACTAAACGTCACTTTAAAACACTGTTCAACGAACGTGTAAGTTTTATTAGTAAGAGGGTAATTATTTAATGATACCTATGTCAAGAAATAAAGATTTTACATTGAGTTTCATTGACTTTGAGCAAATTAATATTTTTTGTTTATTTAGAAAGAGAGAGTCAGCCCACAGAGAGCGAGATAGTGATACATAGGTTGTGCTTCAAGTAGGTATTCGAAGTGTGGCCTCGATTTAGCTTCATGGGTGCAGGTCACCGCAGGTGTCATCACTGTCATTGATGTCAATCAACGTCAACAGCTGTCAACAGCCAACCAACAAAAACCAAAACAAACAACAAGCAAAATAAACAGAATAATTAAATAATAACAACAAGCAAAGCGTTTCGTCGGCATTTCGACGCAGAAAGGAAGATTCCTTCTTAATCGAGAAAGTCAAAATTCGAAACGCGTATTTAATTTACACTCTTGTATAACCTCACAACTTCGTAATGAACTCTGTGAACTCCTCAGTCGCGCAGTCCCAACCAAAGAATGCTCATACTCCAAGGTCCCAACAGAGCTTACAGAGCCCGTGTCGCAAAATGGACGTACAAACTGCAGCTGCCGTTGCAATGTGCACTCTAGCATACTATAACTACGTGAAATGTCTCACCGCAGAGAGACAAAAAGACAAACAGAAAGAGAATACAATACTAATCAACGACGAAGATGGGGATGAAGACGAACAACGAGAGACGGAGAGAGATTTCACAGGGAAAATTATTAAAAAAAAGCAGAAGAAAGGAAGATGTTGGATGATTCCTTTACACAGGGACAGAACTAGGTAAGTAAATAGGTATATTTACTACCGATGAGTATAGGGTAAATCACCCAGTAGTCAGCCTCTTACTAGTAGTCAACTTTTACGGACATTAATTTTAATTTCCATTATAAAAAACGTTTTTGATCAAAACGTCACGGTTTTCGATTTTTTTACATTTTCATATTGTTTGTATGACTTCTAACTATTAAATATAGAAAAGTGTAACAGCGTCGAAAATTGTAGATATTTGAACGAAAACAGATTGAAATTTGAAGTCAGTGAGTGATGGATTATGATTGAATGAAGGAAAGAAGCGGCATGTGTGCTAACCCAGTCTGCCTTCATTGCATTATTTCATTCCTATCCTAGTTACTTAATTTAATAATCCAATTATATTTTTGCAGACATACTATGGAGCAACAATTCCGTGAACTCATGGGACAATCTGGAGGATTTGAAAATTTTGTCCGTATGTCAATGGCTGATTTTTGTCTTCTACTTTCTGAAATAGAACCCATGATCTCCAAACAAGATACTCGTTTTAGAGAAGCTATACCTGCTAAAATTCGTTTAGCAATTACTTTAAGATATTTAGCAACTGGTGAGAGTTTTAGAAGTCTACACTTTTTATTCAAAATTTCAAGCTCGTTAATTTCAAAAGTTGTGATCAATGTCTGCAAGGCTCTTAATGATGTTCTCAAGGAGGAAATAAAGGTAACAGCTTAATTTTAACATTTATCTAAACTTCTACATTAATTATTTTATTATTATTATAGAGACGAAAGATTTATTTATTTATTTTATTCAAAACTACTGGACCGATTTGAAAATTGCTAATATTTGTTACGCACATATCTCCGATATCACATTGGGGGAGGCCTATGTTCAGCAGTGGATGTCCTATGGCTGAGATGATGATGATGATGATATCTCGGACAGGAGGTAACTGTATGATCGCTTACCGATCATCGACCACCTATCCTCCTAACCTCACAAGGTAGATATGCAAGCAATTCAATACATTTTTTTCCCCTAAAAATAATTGGTTGGAATAAATTACAGTGTTTTCAGATCTTGGTGCGCCTTAAATTGAATGTTTATCGGTATTTGGTAAAGAAAGCAATGTCATTTTGATGCTGAAATATATATTTTTGGTTTACAGATGCCGAGCAATGAACATCAGTGGTTAGAAGTTCAAAACGGATTCAAGAATAATTTTCCACATGCTATAGGCGCATTGGAGGGAAAGCACATTTTTATAAAATGTCCAAGTAACACTGGCCACAGTTTAATACTATTAGCTTTAGTCGACAGCGACTATAATTTCCTGTATGCCGACATTTGTAGTGAAGGAAGACAAAGCGATGGAGATGTATTCAAAAATTTTTCACTGTGGAAAAAAATTACGTCTAACAGTCTTAACCTTCCTGAACCACGACGATTATGCAGCACTGAAAATGTCGAAGTCCCCTACTTTTTTTTGGCTAACGGAGCATTTGCTTTACATGACAATGTAATGAAACCATATCCTGGTTCTCACGATATCGGTTCACCGCAATTAAATTTTAATACACGATTGTCAAGATCTCGAGTAGTTTGTGAAAATGTTTTTGGGATTTTAGCATCCAGGTTTCAAATATTTAAATATCCTATTGATTTACATCTTGAAAATGCTGCCATTATTACAAAGACATGTGTTTTGTTGCATAACTTTCTCAAAAAAAGTGATAGTTCATCTCACATGTACATGCCTCCCGGTATTCTGGACGTATATGATCACAGCGGAGTTTTAATTCAACGCGGAACTTGGCGGGAAAAGATGAACAGTAAACCTGCTATGAGAACTATATCACAAATTTCAAGCAAATCATCAACGTCTGCCCGTCAGATAAGAGATTATTTAACAGATTATTTTTCTACCAGAAATTAGGTGTTTAGTATAGAACGCATCGCATAATATTAGTTTGTGTCGTTTTGGCAATGAATGATGATAATAAATTAATAATCTATTAATGTTCATAATGTTTCTATTGTGTTTATAAAATAAACTCACCGTGCTAATTTTTGTTTGCATTTGTATACCTACCTTTTTTGCGCAGGAAAATACTTTGCGTATACCCGCCGCCCCGGGGGAGGTGGCGGGTTATGTGGGACTCCCTTGTCGGGTGGCAGCAATAGCGACTGTCAACCGACAAGTATACCCACTAAAAACCTCCGGTGTACCCTCTGCGTGTTAGTGGTACGACGTGGGTGCTTGCGATTGTATTTGTATACCTAGCCGTCCCAAAAAGCTGTCCATTATAATGAAAAGCAAACAAAATTGTCCACGCCGGCACCAGGTTTAATTGATGCTTCCCTTATTTGTAGTAGCTCCGATAAGTCACAATGAGCGATTCCTTTTTTTTTCTTTTCAACTCTTCTATTGGAATATGTATAACGTCTTGGAAACGCATCTGAGCGTCATTCGATTTTCTCCTGTGTGTATTACTTCAAATGCAAATTGCAACTTATTTCCCTATGTCTCTATCAGTCGGATTCTCAGTGGTTGAAATAGAAATACAATTTTTCATTCAATATATTTTTTTAATGGCTTATCTAAATAAATGATACCTAAGCAAGTGTCTGACTAGATACTTTACCCTATCTGGATAAGAATGAAGTGAATGATTGATTCATCAATAAAATTAATTAAAATAAACAGAGCCCTAAATTATAATAAATAAATTGACCATACTCATAGAATCAGAAAAAAACCCGATAAAAACTGATAAATATATGGATTGTATTTGAACCATAGAATCAATCCTTTTTGTTTCGTCAATCAATCTGGCAGGAACAAATCAAAAAAGTTTTGGTTGCTAAGCAACGTATAATTATTTATTTATTGATTAACGAGCGTCTAATTTGTTGAGTTTTTTAATCCACTTTAAAATGCCTAAAGTGTTCAAGAATGCGCACGATGGCATTCCATACCACAACGTTCGGCACAAAAAATTCGAGTGTGATCCAGGGTGCTATCAGTTACACAGGTAAGTAAATATGAGGTGGATAGAGTTCGATGCTTGCAGAGTGGTGGTGATGACTTGGCTTGACTAAGTATGAGAGGTGGGACCGCACATGCTGTTCTACCTACATTTCATATGGTTATGGTCACCGGCCAATACCTACTGCCAATGCAGTCCGCCAGTGCAGTCAAATTTTCAAACATTTCTAGTTAAAAAGATCAATTATTTCATTTTTTAATGTCAATGTGTATCATTACTTTAGTACCAAATAAATATTTTTTCTTTCTTTCTTTCTTTCTTTCAATTAAGTAAGTTTAGAGAAGCTTATTTTTTTTATTTTTTTTTATCCACAACGAGGAAGCTCTTGGCCTGTATCTCACCTGATGGTAAGTGACGATCAGGCCGAAGGTGGAAGCAAGCTTCACCCGGAATCCTCAACCACGGAGGAACTGGCTATCTTACCTCTTAACTGCCGGAACACAATAATGCTGTTAACATTGTTGTTATGGCGACAGACAGGTAGATGGTGGTAGCTAGCCAGGCGGACTTAAAACAAGCCCTACCAACCAAACCGAACAGAAAAATCTGCCCCCACTGGGAATCGAACCCGGGACCTCTGCGTCTGAAGCAGGTGGTCTTACCACTAGACCACAGAGGCAGTGATGGGCTGACGTAATCTAAAGATGATGGTCTCTGTGGCCATCACTCAGGCCGATTGCTGAAGTAAAATAACTAATATTCCAGGCCTTCAGACTGCCGCCTTAAGTTTCCAGTCACCAAGCGTCCAATACACAAATGCGAGGTGCCCGAACGGGAGTTCACCATGGTGCCTCAGATCGGAGGCTGGCGGGAACTCCTGGTGCCGAAGACCGAGCCCAACTTTTACCCGGCCGTCATGCAGAAGGAAGAATATTTGCGACTCAAGAAGCAGGCTAGGGTAAGCGCCTGGGATATTATAATAGCAATGCTTTTTTGGTGTAACTAGAATTATTTATCTTTATGTAGGCGTTCTCGTTCTTTATTTTAACTTCGATCATTATTAATTACCTCAAAGATTTATAATATGATCAATGGATTTAAAGTACAGTAGCAACTAGCGACCAAGGGATGGAAGATGTAGTGTAGACAAGCCTCCCAACTAGGTGGACCTACGATCTGCCGAAGGTTGCATAATGTACCTGGATGCGGGCAGCCGGTCGTAGTGGAAATCCTTGGGGGAGGTATTTGTCCAGCAGTGGACGTCATTAGACTGTCTGCCACCAGCATAAAAGTAAATAAACACCCGGATTCACTATGAGATCCCACAGTGCGTGTAGACGCACGCACAGGGTCCCAAAAACCTATTCGTTCGTAGACAATGCTTGAGTGGCGCAGTGACACAAGAACCAATCACAGAACTCTATTCAAAGCTGTGCGTTCGAGTTCGACTTCATATGGCGTTGCTGGTTCAAGCAAGCATCGTTTGTGAATACGGGTTAACGTCTTTTCAGATAGTGTCCCAAGAGGAGCAGTTGCAAGCCATGCACGCGCAAGAGGCGGCCATCCAGAAAGCCGCCAAGGAGTCGGAGGCTCGAAAGCAGTTGTTGAAAGAAAAGCTACTACCTCAGCCCGGGGCAGAGACTGCGTCGGGCACGGCTGACCCGGAGTTAGAGGGGCCTGACCAGGCCGCCCACACCTTGTCCAGGGCAGAGAGTAAGTTATTATTACATAGGTGCCATGTGGGGACGGCCATAAAGAATACTCTTCCCACCGCCAACAGGAGGAGTGTCGTATAAGGCGACAAAATCTCTGCAGCACTGGACGGGCAGCAGCGTCTGCGTGCGAAACCTTTACAAAAAACTGCGGTCGCAACCCGCCCGCCAAGCATGGCGATTAAGGCAAAATCCCCCCATGATTTTATCCTTGGGGGTTTATCCAGCAGTGGACGTCTTTCGGCTGAAACGAACATAGGTAGCCTTTCTATTCAAGCAGCTGTTGAAAGAAAAGCTTCTACCTCAGCCCGGGGCGGAGACCGCGTCGGGCACGGCTGACCCGGAGTTAGAGGGGCCTGACCAGGCCGCTCACACACTGTCCAGGGCAGAGAGTAAGGCATTATTACATAGGTAGCCTATTCAAGCAGCTGCTGCCTCAGCCCGGGGCGGAGACCGCGTCGGGCACGGCTGACCCGGAGTTAGAGGGGCCTGACCAGGCCGCTCATACACTGTCCAGGGCAGAGAGTAAGGCATTATTACATAGGTGCCGTGTGGGGACGGCCATAAAGAATACTCTTCCCACCGCCAACAGGCGAGTTGTAAGGCACGACAAAATCCCTGCAGCACCGGACGGGCAGCAGCGTCTGTGTGCGAAACCTTACAAAAAACTGCGATCGCAACCCGCCCGCCAAGCATGGCGATTAAGGCAAAATCCCTCCATGGTTTTATCCTTGGATTTCTTTCGGCTGAAACGAACATAGGTAGCCTATCTATTCGAGCAGCTGCTGAAGGGGGAGCTGCCACTGACACTGTCCAGGGCAGAGAGTAAGTTATCATTACATAGGTGCCGTGTGGGGACGGCCATAAAGAATACTCTTCCCCACCGCCAACAGGAGGCGTGTCGTAAGAGGCGACAAAAAGAATTTGGTAGCACATAAAAAAGATTTTTCGCGAATTTAAGACCGTAAAACTATGTCGCGTTTATAATTGATATTTTTTTTCTAAAGACCGGTTAGTTAGGCACACGGGTGTGAATCGCTTAGGCCCTAAGATACGATCCTTGATGCCCTAAACCTTAAGGCATCAACGATCTTAATACGGAACTGAGCAGTGGACGTCCTGTGGCTGAAATAATGAATGATAATGATTTCAAATTATTGTAGCCGCCAGCGACCACAATAAAAATCGTCTTCGAATAGAAACAATGAATGTTTGCAGCCGAAGCCACAAGCAACTTTCTGCACAGAAACACCACATTGGTCATCATAATAGAAACAGGAATGTGGGCCTGACAAGAGCCGTTGCATAGCTCTGAGAAGAGCTGTTTTGTTGTGACCACTGCACGTCACACCGTCCCTCATCGCACCAGCACCGCTCGCACCACTGTCACCAAGCAGCATCACCAACGCCCACGTGTGGAGCGGCAAAACGCGCCGCGTCGCGCAATCGTCAAATCGTCTTCAGCTGCAAACATTCATTGTTTCTATTCGAAGACGATTTTTATTGTGGTCGCTGGCGGCTACATTATTTGGTATCTTTCTTTCTTTTTTTCCCGCAGCAGGCCTGTTCATATCCGCGAGTTTACATAGAAAACAAAACAAGGCCTCACATACGAGCGAACATTGACTCACGCACGCGTATTCTTGTGTATGATGGAAGAAAATAAAGAAAATGGTGTACTAAATACTGTGCAGTATTTAACTGCCTAAATAATAATAAAAACACAGAATGTACTTTTTTAAGTTGCCTCAAGACACTGANCAGGCCTGTTCATCTCCGCGAGTTTACATCGAAAACAAAATACGCACGATGGCCCACCTACAGGATACTATTCGACAAGGCCTCACATACGAGCGAACATTGACTCACGCACGCGTATTCTTGTGTATGATGGAAGAAAATAAAGAAAATGGTGTACTAAATACTGTGCAGTATTTAACTGCCTAAATAATAATAAAAACACAGAATGTACTTTTTTAAGTTGCCTCAAGACACTGAGAGGTAAATAAGTAGTTAATATTATTCATGATAATTCATGCTAAATCATGTATTTCCTCCGCCATTTTCCGCAGTTTGGCACCTCACGTCACATCATTTTACCGAAGTCAGCCCTATAGCTTCGGCGCAGTGCCGATCACTGACGTTTGTCAACAAAATGGTGCTTGACTCTTGAGACAGGCTAAATTACACCATATTGTTAGTGACATTGAGCATACATTTTTTGAAATACCTTTGCGAAGTAAAACTTCTGTACGTAGTACTTATTATTATTCTGTGCCCGCAGTGTTGAAAGCCGACAACATGCAGGGCCCGCGGCTGTGCAACCGCATCATCCTGGCGTCCAAGTGCCACGCCATCCGCGACGCGCAGATCGCCGAGAAGGAGCTCATCAAGAAGGAGCTGGATGAGGAGGAGAGACGGTAGTATTTGTCTTACAGCCCGTCGAGTTAACTGCGCTGCCTGGCGGCCGTGACGTCACATCGACGCTCTAGATAGATAGATAGATAAAACGTTTATTTGCATAACAGAAACACACATTACAAACAGAAAGTACCAAAAGTAGGACAAAATAGTACCCTCAGGACAATATGACATGGTATGGTAAGACAGATATAAAAAGAAAAAAAAAATCATTATGACATACAATATAGGTACACACTTTATACAGAAATGTGTGTCGCAGCAATGCAAAACGGCAATAGCTCAGTAATTGGTTTACTTAAAAGCAAACCACTGATTTTCAGCTATAGCCTAAGGACGAAAGAACGCGCGTAACACGTCAACGTGACGTGACTCTAGTGTGAAATGGGGCGAACACGGGGACATGTTTTTTCTTACAACTTTAGAACCCGGTCGAGTTTACTGCGTATTGGCGGCTGTGACGTCACATGGATGCTCTAGTGTGAAATGGGGCGAACACGGGGACATGTTTTTTTTGAAAAAAATGAAAATGAAAATGTTTTATTTGATAAATAAAGTGGTTTAACAGGATATTTTGGTAACCATCCTTTTAAGTATAATAATACCTGTAGTAGGAGGTTACCGCTCTTCCAAAAGTATTAACATACATTCTTAGTTAGTGTGTTTGTGGACTTTGTGGTGTGTTGAGTGAATTTGTGTGTAGTGTTATGAGTGGTGTATTGAGTAAATTAGTGTGTTGTGTTGTGTTGTGTTGTGAGTGGAGTGTTGTGTGTATTATATGTGTAGCAATATAGTTTAATTTAATTTATGCCATCCCATACGTCAAGTCAGATATCATCAATTCATCATATTTATTAGTAACTAGGTAGGTGTTAATTCATTAGATAGTTCTTGTTATGTTATATTCATAAGTAGATTTTCTGTTTCTGTATAGCTGAGGGATTTTAACCATGTTTTTTCTTAAAACTTTACAACTCGGTCAAGTTTACTGCGCACCTGGCGACCGTGACGTCACATCGACGCTCTAGTGTGAAATGGGGCGAACACGGGGACATGTTTTTTCTTACAACTTTACAACTCGGTAGAGTTTACTGCGTATTTGGCGGCCGTGACGTCACATCGACGCTCTAGTGTGAAATGGGGCGAACACGGGGATATGTTTTTTCTTACAACTTTACAACCCGGTCGAGTTTACTGCGTATTGGCGGCCGTGACGTCACATGGATGCTCTAGTGTGAAATGGGGCGAACACGGGGGACATGTTTTTTCTTACAACTTTACAACCCGGTCGAGTTTACTGCGTATTGGCGGCTGTGACGTCACATCGACTCTGGTACAAACGGGGCGAACGCAGCAGATGTGAGAGGGAGAGTCGCATTCCAGCGAGGTGCGCAGTTATCACGACCAACCAAGGGTTCTACTTGACTTTTAATAACTTGATAAATAGAACTGCCTAAGGTGGGAATCGAACCCACGCGCTTTCGCTTGCTGCGCGACTGTTATCATTTTGTATACTTACGATTTTGACCGACTAACTAATCTCAATACACTCGATGTAGACATACTTATTCTAAATGTGAGAGAAAGGAAGGGAATACGTAAGATGTGAAACAACCTTAAATAAGTTTCTCCAAAAATCACTATAAATAACTTTCGTAGGTTTTTTCAAGTTTTATCTTTTTTTTTTTACTTTATTAGGGTAAAAGAACAATGTTGAATACAATGTTGCTTAAGAAATCGAATTGCAAAAAATTTGTAAAAATATCCGCATAATTTACCACCTTGGGGGAGGCCTATGTTCAGCAGTGGGCGTCCTATGGCTGAAATGATGATGATGATGATAATTTACCACAGCTTACTTTATATTATTCAGGGTGTTTCGTGTAAGGTGTCAAGCCAGACCCATTGACTTCTATCTATCGATCTTTCTCCTACTTTGTGTGTGACAGAGTCACAGTTGGCTTCAATCCCGACCGAACAAGTAAAAATAAAAATGCATGCACGCGCGATTTTTATGAGAGGCTCATCTGTCATACAAAGTTCCAAACACTCATGATGGTATCGTATTCCAGGCTGGACGCGATATCGGAAGAGAATCGTCAAGCGGCCGTGGCACGCGCCGAAGCGGAGGAGGAGCGCCGTCACCAGCTGCGCCTGCAGAACCTGGCCGCGCTCAAGGAACAGATCAAGGCGCACGAGACCGCCAAGGTGAGCTCGATCATAGGCCAGGTGGCACGCTGTGACGTAGGAGGCAGGCGGCCGAGGCGGAGGAGGAGCGCCGCCACCAGCTGCGGCTGCAGAACCTCGCTGCGCTCAAGGAGCAGATCAAGGCGCACGAGACCGCCAAGGTGAAGTAGGATTGGCCAAGGTGAAGTCTTGCTAGACCAGGGGGACGCTATATCGAAGATCAAGGATGAGCCAGCGCCTATGATGAGCAGAGATCAAGGCGGACGAGACCGCCAAAGTGAAGTCTTGCTAGACCACGGCCCACGGGGACGCTATATCGAAGATCAAAGACGAGCCAGCGCCTGTGATGAACAAAGATCAAGGCGCACGAGACTGCCAAGGTGAGCTTGGGACCATAGGCCAGGTGGCACGCTGTGACGTAGGAGACAGGTGGCCGTGCCCGCGCCGTCACCAGCTGCGCCTGCAGAACCTCGCCGCGCTCAAGGAGCAGATCAAGGCGCTCGAGACCGCCAAGGTGAAGTCTTACTAGACCAGGATAACGCTATATCGGAGGGCAAGAAGTAGCCAGCCAGACCGCCTAGGTGAGCTCTCTCAAAGAGAATCGTCCAGGTCAGACGACATATCGGAAGAGAATCGTTAAGCGGCCGTGACGTGGGCAATCAAGGCGCACGAGACCGCCAAGGTGAGCTCTTGATCATAGGCCAGGTGGCACGCTGTGACGTAGGAGGCAGGTGGCCGTGCCCGCGCCGTCACCAGCTGCGCCTGCAGAACCTCGCCGCGCTCAAGGAGCAGATCAAGGCGCACGAGACCGCCAAGGTGAAGTAGGATTGTCCAAGGTGAAGTGATAGACTGACCACCAGGCCACCAAAACCAAGGCGCACGAGATCACCAAGGTGAGCTAGTAGGATTTAAGGGAGTGATCTCCAATTCAAAACGCAAAGCTACTGCTGCAAAACCTCGCGGCGTTAATAGGATCAAGACGCACGAGACTGCCAAGGTAGTCTTGCTAGATCAGATGAGACGCTGTATCAAAGTTCAAGGAGTAGCCAGACAGCTGTGATTAAGGCAGAAATCAAGGCGCACGAGACCGCCAAGGTGAGCTCTCTCAAGGAGAATCGTCCAGGTCAGACGACATATCGGAAGAGAACCGTTAACCGTACCTAAATGTCGACATGTCGCGTTGATTGGACATGCCCCAAGATGTTACATGATAAGGCACCTTAGATTTTATTTGTAACATCAAATTAAACTGAAATAAAATAAAGGAAAACAAAAATTAAATGGCGCAATTTACCAATGTAGGTCGCTGCTAGTAATGTGATCTCATACACACTATCCCCCTTACTAATAAAAAATTACACAGTTGTTGATCACTGTTTTAAAATGACATTTCCATACTAAACGTCACTTTAACACACTGATCAACGAGCGTGTAAGTTTTATTAGTAAGGGGGTATGTATACATAGGTCACACTTAAACTTGCTTCAAAATATCCCCCAGATAATGGAAGCGGAGCGCATTGAAGAGGAGAGCATCCGGGTGAACCAGGCCAACATAGCGATGCAGATCGACGAGGCGCAGAGACTCAAGGAGAAGCACGGCCGCGCCGCCAAGCTCAAGGAGATCCTGGATCAAGGTAACTATTATACAGGGTGGAATTTTGTAATGCCACCTGTAGGCCTAAGATGCGCGCCGCGATAAGCGGTTATCACGGCATTTTATCGATTTTGCCCATACATTTTGACGTCGATAAAAGTTGTCACGGTGCGCATCTTAGGCCTACTGGAGGGCAAGTACTCTTAATACTGTAGATAGAAAAAAATACTGAAAGAAAACATTCCTTTATTTTTGAAAAGAAAGAGAACTGCATTCAAAGATTTTAAATTTTTTTCGAAAATTCACTACCATACCATACAATCTTCTGTACTTACATAATTAAAACAATTTAAGATTTCATGGTTTTCCTTTCATTTTATTAATCAAGTTTGTTAGAGAGATTTCATCCTTATAGTTAACCCTAACGATCGATGTAATAAAAATACAGGGTGTCATTTTTAACAGATTTAAGTTGGTCGATTCCCGGGTGTGGCAAGCAAATTTTTGGAAATATTTGAATGCAATTCAATATCTTTTCAAAAATAAAAGAATGTTTTCTTTGAGAAAAAAATTCTATCTACAATATTAAGAGTACTTTCCCTCCAGGTGGCATTACAAAATTCCACCATGTAGATCGTTTCATCCCTGAAGACGCGCCCCACCAATTTTTGGTCTCGGTCGCGCGGGGTGCGGGGAGTTTGATCCGAGCAATCCGAGCGTAATTATTGTAGTGTGCGTGTGCACTCATGGATAATTTAGCGTGTACCGATAACACTCAAACATTAGCGGAAAAATAGTAGGGCGCCGGGCGGTGGTTTTAAATTACCCACACCTTAAAAAGGTTGCCACACTGGATGTGTTTTGCGGTCACCAAAACGCAGTCTGCACCATGTATGCAAAAAGAACACAAACCGCAGCACTGACAGATCGTATTATCCAAACCACTGATCCTTGCCACGGTAATACTATCTATACAGTATTCCAACTCGGCCATATTTTTGAAATAAATGTCAACAGTCGCGCGGTACGTCACAGTATGACAACATGCGGTAGGGCTGCCCACCTACAGTACCCAGTTTAATTACATCTGCCTACTTATAGTTCCAAAATACTGGACTGTCCTGTCGATGACATTGACAGTGGGGCGCCACCGTCAATACCGGATCGCTGGTTCAGATTTTTGCCATGTTGGAAACCATATAGTTGAACGATGGTAGCGCCCCCCTGTCATTGAGTTTGGCGGGACAGTTCAGCGTGGGTCATCTATAGAATTTATATCTAGTTTTGTGATTGTATTTTTTTATTTAGTTAGACAAACAAAATACTTTATGAATGGAATAGGTTAAAAATGTGTGTCGTTTTGTGATTAGTAGATTTAATTTAGTAAAAACTACTTAAATAGGTAATTTCGAAACTTTAATAATCATAATGATCTGTTACTTTAATTTCGGGCGGGCGAAGTCGTGGGCAAAAGCTGGTTTGATACAATATAATTTTCATTTCAAATCAAACTGACTGAAATTGTAAATTTGACTAGTTTTTGACCAATTTGACCGTAAGTGACGGTCAATCAAATTCAATTAGTTTTGTCATTTTTAACACTTGGCCACCGACGTCCATTCGGCACATTCGCGACACCCCCGACTTTTGCATACCGAGCGCATACCGAGATTTGAATTTCGAAAGAAAGTTCTCGTTTCGTCTGTTTATATGAAGTTACAATACTGTATGATATTATTACCGTGCCCTTGCTGCTCATACATGATGCGGGTTGCTTTCACTTTGACCTGACCGTAGACTGCAACATTGTGGTAAATACTATACTCAGTTATGCGCTATAGGTCCAGGTTTATCTCTAGTCAGTGCCTGAGGAACAGGAGGGACACGGGAGGGGTGACATTGACGTATGACGTGACAGGGTATACAAATCTGAAGTCACGCTGACATTTAACTCAGGCACTGCAGGCTAAGTTAAACCTAGACTAGATGTCCTCAAACAACTCAAAGGTGACTGACTGACTGACATATTGATCTATCAACGCACAGCCCAAACCACTGGACGGATCGGGCTGAAATTTGGCATGCAGGTAGATGTTATGACGTAGGCATCCGCTAAGAAAGGATTTTACGAAACTCCACCCCTAAAGGGGTAAAACGGGATCCACGCGTACGAAGTCGCGGGCGGCCGCTAGTCGTTTACTACGTGTCGTAAATATGAAACGCCATCTTCTAGGCAACGCCGAGCTGCTCTACTACAAACAGCTCCAAAACGAAGAGGAGCGCATCATGGACCTGCGCATCGCCAACTTCCTAAAGAAGAAACAGGCGCGCGAAGCCAAGGCGCGCGCCGACGCCGACGCCGTCAAGGCCGCCAAGCAGAAGGGCATCGACCACATCGCCAAGGCGCAGAAGGTATATAATATGCCTTTTGATAAGGACTCTTTTGGCAGGACGTCAGGCGTGCGTTTGCAGGACCACACACTAAGCTTCGGCTAAACCTATACGTTCAGTCTGCGAGCACGATGGCGATCAGTGTACGAATTTGTAGCGTCTGCAGTTCTGCACGCGGCGGTGCTTATTTTGACTTTTCTGATCTTAAAATGACGGAATTGTTCGCGCACCGACGCCGACGCCGTCAAGGCCGCCAAGCAGAAGGGCATCGACCACATCGCCAAGGCGCAGAAGGTATATAATATGCCTTTTGATAAGGGCTCTTTTGTTTTAGCTCTTTGGGAGGCAGGACGTCAGGCGTGCGTTTGCAAGACCGCACAAAGCTTCGATCAGTGTATGAATTTGTAGCGTCTGCACGCGGCGGTGGCGATCAGATCGCGCTTATTTTGACGTTTCTGATCTTAAAATGGCGGAATTGTTCGCGCCACACGACGCCGTCAAGCAGAAGGGCATCGACCACATCGCCAAGGCGCAGAAGGTATATAATATGCCTTTTGATAAGAGCTCTTTTGTTTTAGCTCTTTGGGAGGCAGGACGTCAGACGTGCGTTTGCACTTTGCAACACCACACACTAAAGCTTCGGCCAAATCTACACGTTCAGCCTGCGAGCGCGATTGCGATCAGATGTCGTGTATGAATTTGTAGCAACGTGTTCACATTGACGCGTCCTGTCACTGGCCGCGTCGCCCTATGCAGCGTTTGCGGTGGCGATCAGATCGCGCTTGTTATTTTGACGTTTCTGATCTTAAAATGGCGGAATTGTTCGCGCACCGACGCCGACGCCGTCAAGGCCGCCAAGCAGAAGGGCATCGACCACATCGCCAAGGCGCAGAAGGTATTTCAACGGCTCAACGCTCACGCCACCAGTTGGCGCCACTGTCTCCGCCATTAGCAAGTGACAGTACTTAGTGACGTGAACGCTGAAGCGGTAGGACGCCGTTGTAGGGTTGCGTTATTTCAATCATCAGTGGTGCCAAAAATGATAGCCCTCATAAGGCACATTCCCACTGAATCGGAGTGGAGAGAATCTAATTTCGGTATTCCTCAATGACTCCGCTTAGCTTCGGTTCGGGAATATCTCCGCTTTGGTGGAAGCCGGGCCTCATGATTTAGACCGGTGTATCGTGTTCGTGCTGTTCAGTTCTGTATACTTTCTTGACGTATCTACTATCTACATCTCTATCTGTGAGGATCAATAATCTTCAAGTGTTATTAATTGTACAACAACTCAATGAAGTTGTGTAAAGTAAACCCTGGTCTTCCGAAAAAATCACTACCCAGACACAATATTTCTCAATGAGTCCCCCCTACTAAAGCCCGGTCTGTGAGCACGTAGAATTTTGTCCAATGACCCCAAGCTACCCATCCTTATCGCTAGCTTGGGGTCATTGGACAAAATTCGACGTGCTTACAGACCAGACTATAACTGGAATAGATAAAGTGGTCATTGATTTTTTAATACTTTAACTTGAAAGCTACAGCTGTAATACCTTTCCAGGCAGAACAAGAGCTGAAGGAAGAGCTGGAAAGGATCCGCAACCTGAAGATCCAGGAAGATGTGGAGCGGGAATACCGCCGGCGCGAGCGAGACGCCGCTATTCGCCGCAACAACGAGATGAGACAGCTGCACGAAGCCCGCGTTCAACAGGTAAGAAGCAGGCTTCTGGTACATTTGAAAGAAACTCAGTGAATCAATAAGGCTGGTTTTAGAGCTCGCTGACAGCCGAAATGTATGAAGCGTCGGCGCCGAGCGATCAGGAGCACTCAGGAACGTTCCCTTAAATTACATACATATTGATCTGTCAGCGCCGACGTTCAGCGAGCGGTCAGCGTGATTCGCGTAAGAGCCATTTGCGCGCACACTTGAATGAAAAGACATTATCGGGAAAGGATGTTTGCGCGAAAAAACACTTGCGCAAAAGACACGAGCGCGAAAAAAATGGCGCGTACCTACTGCATTATCGCGAAAGATATAACCGTGAATGAACGATATTTTTGGGTTAAATGATTATTATTACTTTTATCGGCTCACCGCCCATGTAATATGGAAATTCTTAAAAGCATTAATGTTTCATTCGCACTAATGTCTTTGGCGCAACTGTCCTGATGTGAAGCTCCAGGGCTACTCTGAATCGCTAGTAGTTTCGGGTATATCTGTCACCGTCGCTCATGCTGGAATCTCGCTTTGCACGAGAGGGATGGCAACATTCAAACTTCAGATAACGTTTTTCGGAGTAAACTCCGTGATAACTATTTTTTTCGTAACATTTAGCAGCTCAGTTACCGGGACTATTCCCTCTCTTGCCAATTTTTGTCTCCAAGCGCTGGTAGAGCAAAAAAGATAAAGGAGGAGACATGAAGTGCCCCTTAAATTAAATAAAGGTTACCTTTTTTAACTTTATATCTTGGAAAAATTTAAAAGACATTTCGTTTCATTTCTCTTTCCCAAAGCAGCATCCTGTGTAGCCAGGATCTACAGCTTAGGAAACAGTAAGTTAGGGGCTCTTCCTGTCAGAAGCTCTGAACTCGTGAACTAGTCCCTTCTACTAAAAATTGCTTCAGCGATGAATCATGGAAGTTAACGAGTAACAAATGCCTTTAAATAGTCAATTAGCAGGGCAGGGCAAATAGTCTTGGATTTGTTTGTCAATCTGACTTCTACTACACTTACAGTCATCTGGAATTCGTCCAGAATCCAATATAAATACAGAAGCTTGTCGGTTTCAGATCCACGACATCCACCGGCTGATCGCGCGAGAGATCGCGAAGGACGAGCAAAGCTTCAACAACGCGGCGCGACAGAACGAAGAGTTCATTGCGAAGGAAAAGGCGGTAAGTTATTATTTTAACCCACTTTTGGTACTTTCTGTTTGTAATGTGTGTTTCTGTTATGCTAATAAAAGTTTTATTTATCTATTTATCTAAGTACTAGCTATCTATTTTCGGTCATATCGTCTCGTTCTATCGCAAAGAATCACCGAGATGAGATCGAGAGAAAAAATGGAAATGGATAGCTGGAACTGTGACCCACTGTACCTCTAGTACTCATTGTGTAGCCGCCATAGAATCCTGTTTGCTCAGCCTAGACTGAAAAAATAAAAAATATTACTAAAGTCCGGTCGCCGAGCACGTAGAATTTCGTCCAGTGACCCCAAGCTACCCATCCTTATCGCTCGCGCTATTACTTTGGGGCTAGATGGCGCTGGCCATTGTGTGAAATTGTCCAAAGATATTTTTTTATTAAACTGCTGCCTAGTTTCAAAATAAAACTAATTTTCTTTGTTGTACTTAGCTGGATGACAAACGCAAGGCTCGCGTTGAGAAGCATCGGCAGGAGATAATGAAACAGATCAACGACAAGGAAAGAGCTAGGTAACTGCTTACCCATTGGTATTATGCGTAGTTTTTTTTTTTTTCTAAAACATTTGAAATTAGATTCTAATGGATATTTATGAAGTTTAATAATCTTTTCATTAATTAATCAGTCTGACAAAATCTATGAGTCATTAAATACACCTAATGAGGTCTATCGTTTTAGCGCTCACCAGTTGGCGCCAAGCACTGTAAAATAAGATCACTGTCCTGTCACTTGTTTGTCGGCCGTTTGGTGTAGTGGTTCGAAACGGGCTACTATTCCGGAGGTAGCGGGTTCGATTCCCGCACAGTACAAACATTTGTGTGCATGAACATATTTGTTTGTATTGGATTGGGTGTTTTCTATGTATAATAAGTATACAGGGTGTTAGGTAAATGGGTATATGAGCCGACACTGACCCATGTTAACATGGGCATATAAATGGTATGGTGAAGTCAGAAATGTGATATCATCATTTGAATTTTTTTAATTTTCATACAAAATAAATTTTATAAAATCCGATTTGTATGAAAAATAAAATAATTAAAATGAAGATGTCAATTTTCTGACTTCACCATACCATTTATATGACCATGTTAACATGGGCTAGTGTCGGCTCATATACCCATTTACCTAACACCCTGTATATTTACAAAAAAAAGTATTTAAGTATGTTTATATCCGTTGTCTAGTACCCATAGTATAAGCTTTGCTTAGTTTGGGACTAGAAGCGCAGTGTAAAATGTCCAAGGATATTTATTTTTAGTGGCGAAGACAGTGGCGCCAACTAGTGAGCGATGAAGCGGTAGTACTATCGCATTTGCACTCACCAGGATGGCGCCACTGTAGAATAGGGTTATCAATCGTCAGTGGTGCCAACTGTTATAGATCGTTTCATCCACGAAGACGCGCCCCACCAATTTTTGGTCTCGGTCGCGCGGGGTGCGGGGAGTTTGATCCGAGCAATCTGAGCGGCATTATTGTAGTGTGCGTGTGCACTCATGGATAATTTAGCGTGTACCGATAACACTCAAACATTAGCGGAAGAATGGTGGGGCGCGTCTTCGTGGATGAAACGATCTATAAGTATAAAAACTATAGCCTTAATTAATTTTCTCCTCTAGGGCGGAGCTTCGTGAGAAGATACACAACGAAGGCGTTGCTCTGCGAATGGAGCAGGAGCAGCAGGACAAGTACGAGCGCAAGGTCATCAAGCAGAAGGTAAACATTTAAAACGACAGCTTGCACGGGCTGATAATCTAGATGTACGCCCGTATTCACAAACATTACTATGAGTCACAGTGCGCATGGACGCACAGGCTGACACACGAACCAATCAACCAATCTGTCATCCGTTTATTGTAGTGGTTCAGAGCGGACTACTATGCCGAGAGGTCCCGGGTTCGATTCCCGGCCGGGCAGAAATTGAAATGCTAATTTTTAATTTCTGTGACGGGTCCGGGTGTTTTCTTCTATGTATAATATGTATGTATTTACAAAAAAACGTTTTTAAGTATGTTTATATCCGTTGTCTAGTACCCATAGTACAAGCTTTGCTTGATTTGGGAATAGCGGCGCAGTGTAAAATGTCCAAGGATATTTATTTATTTAATCACAGAGCTCTATTCAACGCGTTCCATTTGCTGCTTCACTTATGCAAGCATCGTTTGTGAATACGAGCTTTACTGTCATAGAAAAGTTTAAAAAGCTAAACGGCTATAACTTTTGGGCTGGGTTGCACCATCTTACTTTGAACGTAACTATAATGATGATAACCGGTGTTTTTTGTATGGAGTTTGACAGATTTTTGAGTCTTTTTCTCTCCACGTACTTATCCTATATTCTGCTATTTTCCTAGTTCCACTGCAATGTAGTAATTGTAATATTTTCTTACGTTACAGGTCGCGATGATGAGACAACAGAAGGTGTCCGAGAAATACGTGAAGGAAGTGGAGCAAACCCTCGGCAAGCATGGCTACTAACCCGTGCCTTCTAATACTTCCAAACGACAGATAAGAATAAGACCTAGCTTTGAGTGTACCTATGTACTCTTTGGGCTACATATTCACTTCAGAACCCTCATACATATTACGCGTCCTCTAAACCATGATTCGAATTCATATGTAGGCCCTTTAATAACTTTTGACGTGCCTACTACACCAACACCTTAAAATTTTCATGGAGACTTTTAGACCCACCATGCGTAGCACATAGCCTGACTGTTTAGACTTGGTTAGAATCACGGAAAAAAATATTCCCAGTGGCCCTACCACTGAAAAATAAATTATCCGTGATACTACCAGTAAACTAATCAGTAAAATCTTGGGCAACGGGTTTTACAAATAACAAAAGGCAAGACATTATTTCCTCGCGACTATTCGTAAATGTCACATGATATCTACACAACACAAGTTTCTCTTAGATTTCCAAAACTGTGCTGCCAAGAAATGTTTTTTTTTTAAGTTTATTAGTTACAAATTACTGAGTCCCGTTAGCCCCTCGTACTAAGCTAAATATTATAATGCTTGTTTTACAAGTGGGCTCACCACAATAGTCGAGCTCCGGTTTTCGAGACGGCCAGTCCGACCCCATCACCGTTCGGCTATCGTGGCTTTTATTATTTATTTATTTATTATTAGAAGTGCATTTTCTTTCAAACTCGCCAAGTACCCGCATGTTTTTCAACAAACCAATTATGGTACTAAAATAGAAAGGAAAATGTGCTTATGCTCATGCTTATGGTTAGTGAAAATTTTTTAACAAATAATCACCGGGATGTGTTCTGAAATGATTGTGTCTTTACTGGATAAATCAATAATTATTGTATTTGGATTAGCACAAGGCTTGGTTTCCACCAAAGCGGAGCGGAGAAGCGTCAAATTTTTCTATAGAATTTAACAGCGGCGACGGCACGCCACGAAAGAAAGATGTGCGGAGCGGAGACCAGAAGTGGAAATAATTGCCACGCTAAATTGGCGCCCAACGTGGGGCAAGTTGAAGAACGCTGCCACGCTAAATTAAATCTGATTGGTTATTCAACACACTTCTCTGCTCCGCTCCGCTTTGGTGGAGACCCGGCTTTAATGACTGTACTGTTATGTTTTGTGTGTGATTATGTTTAAAATAAATAATTTTCAGAATATCAAGTTTTTCTAATAAAACGCAGCCGTGTAGTCAAAACTTTAATTAATTATAATAGTTAATTAGTCTTAGGCACACCGTATGATACACAAGTCAGCCATAACATTAAGAATTGGGTACAAACAGAACAAAACAATCACACTGGACATAAACATGCAGTTCTTGGCATTTGGCGAAAGAGACAACGACATTCGTGTCCGTGAGCACGTAGAATTTTGTCCAATGACCCCAAGCTACCCATCCTTATCGCTCGCGCGTAATTATGTTGCTGTCGCGCTCGCACACTCACTGCGGGCGCGCGTCGCTCAGTCGCGACAGCAATATAATTACGCGCGAGCGATAAGGGTGGGTAGCTTGGGGTCATTGGACAAAATTCTACGTGCTCACGGACCGGGCTTTAGACTAAATTTGATGAGCTCAACCTGTATAAATAGTGTCGCTGTTTCTTTCACCCACAAAACGTGCTTGGCTGCAAAACGGCAGTCACTCCGATATAATTAATTCATTACAACTAGGTTTATCGCTAAAATACAGCCTATCCCTGAAATTATAATAAATATACACAAGTTCAGGATGCATTGCGTTCGTATACACGCGGAACTCAAAGCAGGACTTGGGAAAGTTCCCGTTATTTCCCCATGGTCTGAGGTACATAAGGTAAGTAAAGGACGAAACACACTTATCATTCCGGAAACGGATCGTAACCGTATCAACTCGAAGCGGTCAGTATTCTTTGTATAAACTACAATGCACACATATCCGCACCGTAAGGGCTATATTTCACCGGGACACCATGGCGGCGCAACCAGTCGCCGGCTACCAACAAAATGTATGCAGCTCTATAGAGAGTTACTCACCTGGTGTCCGTTTGGTTGCGCAAAGCTGCATACATTTGGTTGGTAGCGGCGACTGGTTGCGCCGCCGTGGCGTCCCGGTGAAATATAGCCCTAACTCCTCGCGGCTTACAACGCGGCGAATGGCGTAGGTCGCGGGAAGAGCCTGGATGCGGGCAGCGCAGGACCGTTCATTGTGGAAAATCTTGAGGGAGGCCTTTGTCCAGCTGTGGACCAGTAGTGGCGTAAGGGACTGTTACCACAAAATATAACAGAAGACAAACTCCATACTAAACGCGCTCGAGCCACGCACACATAGACACCGCTCCTAGCAAGACTGTCTTGGACGAATGCGAGCGCGACAGACGTTCGCCACACGTTCGCTGTGGTTCGCTTGAGTCACGCGCCGGTCAACCGCCTGTGATATTATTTTGTTTTGCGAAATTGACGAAAATGAGTAAACAGAATAAGTCGTATTATAATTGTTCGGTATTTGGTTGCTTAAACTCATCATTAAATACCGAATTTTCATTTTTTAAATTACCAGTTGATTCGGGGAGGTAAGTAAGTTATTTATTTTAATTTCAATTGAAATTGAAAGCCAACTCAATTATTAGGAATATCGAATTGTTTTAGAGAGGTTTTATGAATTATTGGATAACTAGCTTTTGCCCGCGGCTTCACCCGCGTGAAATTCAGTTTGTCACAGATCGTCATAAATTATAGCCTATATGTTATTCTGGGTTATAAACAATAATACTGTAAAGTTACATCAAAATCCGTTCAGTAGTTTTTGCGTGAAAGAGCAACAAACATCCAGACATCCAAACTTTCGCATTTATAATATTAGTTGGATAATAGTGTCAACCACTCAACTAAATACTACTTCCTTCTCGTGTATTTGTTTGCAAACTATTACTATAATAACGTACTAAATATAATATAAATAAGTATACGTGGATATCTGTTATTGTCTTTCTTGCATAGTATTAAGAGTAACATTTTTCTATCATAACGAAATAAACGCAACACATGACAAGACAACCCTAGCGTCCCTAGCGCGACGGCCGAGCGTGCGAGCGAGAGAGGTATGCAAAGCGAGGTACATACATGAGTTTACCTTCTGTTATATTTTGTGCTGTTACCCAAAGACCAGATCCATGCTACGCCGCCACTGCAGTGGACGTCACGTCATTTGACTGAAACGAACGAACGAATGGCGATACGGTGTTGATGCCTTTTCAGGTTGATATGTGTGCTATGACCTTTAGTAGGGGTGTCCAATTTCCGGGCCACTGCGTGCTTTTGAATAGCCTTGCCTTATTATCATCTACAATCTAGAATACAGTCTAATAATAAAAACGCACTGGTCACTTGATGGCCTTCTCCCCGAGTCGCACCACTTTATCCAGATTGTCCTTGAGCGTGCGCAGCTGGCTTAACACGTTGGCGTCCATCAATGCGAATGGGATATAAGCCTGGGGGGAGAAAGAAAATATTAAAATAAATATCCTTGGACATTTTACACTGCGCTGCTAGCCCCAAACTAAGCAAAGCCTGTAATAATACTAGACAACGGATATAAACATACTTAAACACTTTTTTTTGTAAATACATACTTATTAACATAGAAAACACCCTGACCCGTCACAGAAATTAAAATTCATCATTAAAATTTCTTAACGTTTTGAATCGCATATCAAACTAAATTATAAATAATTTTAAAAAAATCGAACTGCCTAAGGCGGGAATCGAAACGAATCTTTCGCTTGCCAGGCGACTGCTCTTTCATCTGAGCTACTTAGACACTGGATGAACCCGTCCAATAGCTGGCCGCAATTTAAAAATTTCAACTGGTTCATCTATGGCTGAATGGGTTTCATTCCCGCCTTAGGCAGTTCGATTTTTTCAAATTATTTATAACTAGCATTCCGTCCACGGCTTCGCCCGCGTGGATTTTTGTCTGTCACAGAAAAACTTTATTGCGCGCGTCCCTGTTTCAAAACCCGGGATAAAAACTATCCTTTGTCCTTTCCCGGGAGTCGACTCAAACTATCTCTACGCCAAATTTCATCAAAATCAGTTTAGTGGTATAGGCGTGAAAGCAAGACAGACAGAGTTGCTTTCGCATTTATAATAATTAGTATAGATATAGATTGTCGACGGCAGGGTCGTTGCGTCTAGTCGCCGAGCAGTCGCCTAGTGTGCGCCTACACTAAGGCTGGGTTGCACTATCTTACTTTAACATTAACACAAATGTCAAAAGTTTGATAAACTCCATTGACTTACTTGACTTATGGTCCTATGTCCCCTAGATGGGGCAGAGGGCGTCCACAACAGTCCTCCATCTCGTTCGGTCTTGAGCCATTACGGTCAAACTCCATTACGGTTAAATTAAGATGGTGCAACGCAGCCTAAGAGCGCTTTCACATTTAGGCGACTTTAGCGATGACTGCCGCGCTGCTGTCGACCTTAGGTTTGCATTCTGAATGTTAATTTTGAAAACCTTACCTGCGACTGCCTCAGCTGTTTGGGCTGCAGAGACAGCATGGTGCCATCTTGGAGGAGGATGTTACAGTTGGCCTTCTCTTCTTGTTGCATGCTGAAATGTGAGATAAACAAATGTTATATTTCAAGACAAGACAAAAGTTTAGAATCGGGGTTGTTAATTTGGACCACTTAATTTACATCAATACACACACAGGCTACACTAATGCACACTTTGTTGTAGAATTTAAATTTTAAAAGTAATTTTCAATTCAATAAGTAGTAGTTTGCAATCAATCGACATTGCCATACAAAAAGAGTGTCGCGAAGCAGATCTTTACTAAACTTGGAGCTCTTCGCTCTGTTAGTGTAATAAGTGGATCTAAAACTTATTACTGCAACAGAGCCTAGTTTTGATTGCTACGTAAGCGCGTACCGTATCTTCCCTTTTCGTTTTAATATATGGGTAAGTATGTATTAGCGGGTTCCCGCGTACCGTATGTTCCCTTCTTGTTTGTAATTTCCTATACTTACGTGTAGCATGAAGGCACCATGACTGGTGAGCCAGACATAGACACCACCATCTCTCCTTGTCGCGGCTGCCGCAGCACCGTCAGCGGCGTTTGTGGGGTCACCTACAAACACATAGCATTATGCATTATTTATTTATGCCAAATGATAGTATATTCAGCTTTCGTTCTGTTCCGACGGCAGTGTTACCATATCGTTTTTACGACATACTGAAGTCGACAAACAAATTTTTAAAGTAATTGATGTGCCGATGGGGCAGCAAGGTTCTGGAGTGGAAGTAACGTACCGAAAAGCCCAGCGTATCACGTCCACTGTAGGTGGACAGACGACTTCATAAAGGTAGCAGGAACGCTCTGAATGCAGGCTGCTACCAAAGTAAATACAAATGAGTAGGTCATCTTCATAGAAACGCACCGAGCGCGGTTTGTATGTGAGCGCGCCAATATACGTATGCGGCGCGCACGCACACTGATAAAATTCGGCGCAACCACGACTGGCTCCACGCTAATCCTAATCCCCGCTAAATTTTGTCAGTGTGTGCGTGCGCGCCGCATGAAGATGACCTACTCATTTGTATTTACTCTTGGATCTAGGGCGGGTCACTGCGGGAACTAGGGCGGCTCAGCGGTCACTATTGGGCGGCGGCTCTGCGGTCACTATTGGGCGGCGGCTCTGCGGTCACTATTGGGCGGCGGCTCTGCGGTCACTATTGGGCGGCGGCTCTGCGGTCACTATTGGGCGGCGGCTCTGCGGTCACTATTGGGGTCGCTGCGGGAACTAGGGCGGGTCGCTGTGGTCACTACTGGGCGGCGGCGCTGCGGACGTTATATGAGACCGACCTTGGGCGTGATGGCGGGGTAGTTGTTGGGCGCGTTCTTATTGTAGGGCGGGTCGCCGCGGGAACTAGGGCGGGTCGCCGCGGGATATAGGGCGGGTCGCTGCGTTCACTATTGGGCGGCGGCGCTGCTACACTACAGGACCGACCTTGGGCGTGATGGCGGGGTAGTTGTTGGGCGCGTTCTTGTTGTAGGCGGGCGTGCGGTACACGGAGCGCGAGCGGCGCCGCTGCGGCTTGGCGGCGGTGGGCGGGCGGAGGCGCTGCGATGCGTCGGCGGAACGCGAGCGGCGCCCGGCCGAGCGGGAGCTACTGGGCGGCGGCGCTGCGGAGATACAGTTGATTAATAAGAAACAAACGATTTTGGAGTGACAGCAAGTTGTAATTTCTCAGAATTTTTGGATCTTAAAACTAGGCAAAAAAGTTTAACTTTTACTACTTTCTGTTTTTGTACTCGATGGGATGTTTTGAATTGGATGTTAAAAAAAATTATTGACTTGATAACTTTTATTTCTAACATTTCTTTAGCCTTGACATCTAATCATTTATCAAATCAGCAACCTGCTTTTTTTTAAAATCTTCTTTAAGTTGTATGGAGTTCTGAACTTAGTTGTTTAATACGTAATCTATAAAACCTAAAAATTTCTGAAATATAAGTTCTTAACACTACAAGCTAAAGAATGATGATGCAAGCCAAAGTCCCGGCAAGCGTATGAGGGTCTAACGCAGAATGTGCACTTCGCAAAATGCGCACTTTCTAAATATTATACTAACGAACTCTTCAGCTTTAAATTAGTATGGAAAAGTGCGCATTTCGCGAAGTGCTCATTTTGCAGTGTACATCTTGCAAAGGGCTCATCTTGCAAAGTGCGCATCTTGCGAAGAGCACATTTTGCAAAGTGCTCATCTTGCAGTGCTTATTTTGCAAAATGCTCTTCTTGCAAAGAGCTCATTTTGAAAAGTGCTCATCTTGCAAAGTACTCATCTTGCAAAGTGCTCATCTTGCAAAGTGCTCATTTAGCAAAGTGCTCATCTTGCAAAGTGCTCATCTTGCAAAGTGCTCATCTTGCAAGGGGCTCATCTTACAAAGTGCACATTTTGCGAAGTGCACATTCCGCGTCAGCCCCGTGTGACTTACCCGCAGTCTTCTTGGCGCCTCGCTCGCCGGAGCCCTGCGCGGAGTTCTCCGTGAGGTACCCTGCCCGTGAAGCGCCCGGTTAGTGGAAACTTGATGGTGGGTTAGTGATGTTTCTCAACCATAGATTAATTTGGAGTCCAAAGGGAAATATGCATTTTTTTTAATCCCACATTTCTTTAGCCTTGCTCGGTATTGTATCACCCAGAGGTGGAATTGTGTAAACTTTACACAATTCCACTTTTACACAATTCCACTTCTGGATGATACAATACTTTACGCTGTAAAGCAATGGTAATCATTTGACAGTTCATAACGATAAAGTCAGATAAACAAAGCGTGTGACATAATAATTGTATGTTATGAACTGTTTACACAATTCCACCTCAGCACCTTTAATTTTAAAAATATCTAGAAACTCCAAAGATACAACTATTTATAACTTCATGAGGTCACACTAAAAACGACAAGCAGTGTTCCATACCAGTTATTATGGGCGCCTGTATGCTCAGATATTCTCTTGTATCTTTGTTGTTTTCAGAATTTCAATACTTGTTTTACAGAACCCTTTGAATTCAAACTGATACATTTATTATTCTATATTGACTCATTTATAAGTCACCAAGGTGGTTTTTTGAAATACCCAATTACAAAAATCCTCTATCAGGTTGAGAAACAATGAAATGCATATTTACATTGATAAATGAATTAAGATAAAGATTTTCAGAATAATCGAGAAGAATTGAAACAGTAAAATAAGCAAGTTGAATACAAAATAAGTGGATAGAAGATTCACAATGGATTGTAAGATATTTGATGATGAACTGAAATAACAATATGACTTATGACTTAAGAACTACATACATAATCTCATCTAAGACCTAAATAATATGCAACTACCATCTTAAGTCAATACTACTTTAAGCATAGATCGAAGCCTTTGATCATTAAATCATAAAAAATTCAGAGCAGAATCCAGATTAATAAACAAGTTTGCATTGACTTAAACATATTGTAACAGTAAATAATGAGAAAAAAAACTATTTTTTTTATTAAAAAAACTACTCATATTCATGGTACCATTAGAATAAGAAACTGTCTGAAAAATTGCCTGTAAAATATAACCTAAGAAGTTCTTACCATCATCATGAGAAGCAGACCGACTTGAGTGTCTGGTCTGCCTAGCGTTGGTTACTTCTTTCAAGTGTAGTTCGGTTTTCTGAAATAAACCAACAATATTTCAATGCATCTAGTCGTGGAAGGTTACAGTTGTTGACTGCAAAACTTTTAAATAAGATCATTTTCTGCATCTAATTCTATGTAAGTTATTTACACTTTTTTATTAAAAACTAGCTTTTGCCCGCGGTTTCACTCGCGTGAAATTTCGTATGTCACAGAATATAGCCTATAATATGTTATTCTGGATTATAAACAATAATACTATAAAGTTTCATCAAAATCCGTTCAGTAGTTTTTGTGTGAAAGAGTAACAAACATCCAGACATCCAAACTTTCGGATTAATAATATTAGTAGGATAATAACATCTTACCAGTTGTCCAACAGTCTTCTGCAAGTATACATTGCTGATAGAGCCTAATAAAATCTTAAATGCCAGTTCCACGTTTCGAATTTCCATGTGCGTTCTAGAGTCAATCTTATTCTTCTGATCGGTCACTGAAATTAATTCAGAAAAGCATTTGAAACGGACCAAATAAAAAAAACACCACTGTTTGGAGATCCAAAAAATAATTAAGGTTTACATAGCCCAAAACGATAATATTGATGTATTCGAAAGAATGAGCACTGAGATGCATGCAGTTTCTTCAGAGATTTAATAAAAACATACCAAGTTTATTTAGTTTCTTCAAGGTATCGTCATCTTCGGCTGATTTCTCCTGTTTCCTCACCGGTCGTTTGGTCCTAGGCATTTTTTCTTTAGAAGTGATACACAACAAACCCAATAAACTACAAAAATCTGGTTTTGCTATTCAATAAAACAATTTGCGGGCAAATTAGAGTAACTTTGTGAAACAAAACAATATTTTTTATCAGCCACAGCAACCGACCATTTTTGAATTTGATCAGATGTTCGAATACACATCAAAGCTCAATGGATGTCATGTCAGTCAAATAAATAAAAACCAATTAACATGTTTTATTTCAGGTCCAAATGCGATATTTAAATAACTTTGTATTATTTCTAAATAAAATTAATATGTATATCATGGCAGAAAAATATTTTTATGGTTTTTTTTTAAAACAATCAATCGTGTTTTGTGTGTGCGTATCCAAAAAATTGTAAAAACTTGTAAGTGGGAGCTGGGACCAGCTGGGACCTTGTATTTGGCCAGTTTTTTTGGTGCATGGCAACATTATATATGCGTAACTTAACTTCATAAGATAACAATGCGGAAGTTTAATTTCGGCGATTCACTTAAATTAAAACAAATACTACTTTGTACCTTGCGACCTTGTACTATGTAGTGGCAGGAATTTGTAGTGAAAGGTTGATTTTTTTAAGAAATCTCATATTCTGAATGATGTCGCCCCAGACATCATGGGATATATTAAAATGGGATATTAATTCTCAATAATCAATACTTGTTGTGGTAAGTTCAGTTTGTCAGCTTCAACTTGGAATCTTCTGTTTGGCCATACATTCAATATTTGGCTTTGTTGGCTATGGCAACATTAATAACATAGCGGAAGTATAGTAAAATTGATCTTCTTTTAATAACTTTATGTGATTTATTGTAATAAATCTAGGATTACATTAAATAAAATCTATATAAATCCTAAAAATAAAAAACATATTGCTTTTGCATGTGATCTTGAATTATTTTTAATGCGATCGAGAATTAATTGATATTGGTTTTGACTTTAGCAGTACATTGCATTGTTAAGATGAATGAAGAATGGCGGACGTTGTCATATTGGGATACTTGTTCACATTTTTACTTATAAATACTTGTAGTGGTGAGTATTCTCATATATTTGTATCTTATAATGTCTCTAAAAGTGTAATAAATAAGTCATGAGCGTGCCAGGCGCGGCCCATGTGAGATAATATGAAATTTGAAGTGGCTTCCGTACTGTGTTCACTTGGTTGTTCCAATGTTTTTTACCTGCTTTACGGGCTAAGTTGTTAATTCTGCGTAATTCTTTAATTATTGAAACATGTCAGGATTATATTTCTTGCATAAATTTGTAGAATGTTACATTTTCATTAATTCGACATAATTTTCTACAGATCAAGTTAATTTATTTTTGTACAATTTTGTGGACATGCAAGGCACACAACGCAAACCTAAATATTTCCTACATTCGATAGAGAACATTATTCTCTAACATCCAATTGGCAATTATAATTTAGTGGTCAACAAGATTTTAAAGGCTCATCAATACTGTTTTATTGTAAGTTGCATTTGTAAACAATAATGTTTCTATCAGGCGTTCCTGGAGTGGATGTGCCGCATGACGATGGCACGGCTCCCAGCACCCAGCCTCCGGACAACCGCCTGGACAGCCGGATATCGATGGATCACATGATGGTGCACCACCCTCGGTGAGTCAGCTGAAGCAGGCCTATGTAGGCTTTTAAATATTGGCTATTAAATGTAAGTAAGAATGGTGATTATATTTATACATTGTTTGATTTTCTTGCTGCTCAGGAGAAGGAAATTTCAGAGGTAAACAATTCTAAAAGTAATAAATTGTAGTTTCCCATGCCTTGCTTTTGCTCTGTTATTTCATTATTATTTCTATGACAACATTTCATTAAAAACATATAGACAAATTGAGAAATCCAGGAGTTAATCCATGAACAGAAAGCATCCAATTTCAATAACTATAGCATTTATTTATTTTATTTTATGTATATCAAGCTATTTAGTAAAGTTCTAAGTATTCATTTATTTCATTTCATCTATATATATAAAAGAAAGTCGTGTTAGTTACTTCGCTTATAACTCAAGAACGGCTGAACCGATTTAGCTGAAAATTGTCAGGGAGGTAGTTTAGAGCCAGGAGAAGGACATAGGATACTTTTTATCCCGTTCGAAATTAAAAAAAAAGTCTGCTTATTTATTGCCATTAAGGCGGAACAAAGTTCGCCGGGTCAGCTAGTTCATAATGAAAAAGAAATACTATTATATTTCAAAATATTTTAAACACTATTTTAACTACTCATGCCAGCCCTGGCTAGTGCAACTTAGCCTTAATATTTCTTAGACTAGGCGCAAATTTTTAGTTGGCCGATAGTTGGGCCAGATTTTAATTTGTAATGTGCGCACTTCCATACATGCCCATACTGATCAACTGCCCGACTAAACTATCGGCGAAAAATCGATGGTCTGCGCCTAGGCTTACTGTTTCATAACTTTGAACAAACATGTGTTTTCTGTACAACATTTAATTGCATTCCAGGTTTAAATGCCACCAGTGCGAGTCTTCGGAGTGCGCAGAAGGGTCCACCCGCGTGTGTCGCGAAGCCCTATACTGTTACAAAGCTTCGGTGCGCGCGACGGATGGCTTCCTAGAGCAGACGCGCGGGTGCTCCACTTCTAGTGACCACTACCAGTTTATATGTCGTACCAGCCGCCCGCAGCAAGGGTGAGTGGCTTAAGTACCAGCAGTGATGAGATAGCGACAAAAGGCCTATACACTAGCGTATTTTGAGCGTTATCGTCCCGCCAGCGTGTGTGCATCGTAGCCGCGCCGTTGGCTCAACCTCCACGCCAATTCAAATTCAATATTTTTTTCGCAATTTCGCGTAATTGCGTTATTTGTTCGGCAGCCGTTCAACACTGGCACTGGCGTCCCTAGTGTATACTTATTTATTTCCCTAGAGTCCAGTCGCCGAGCACGTAGAATTTCGTCCAATGACCCCAAGCTACCCATCCTTATCGCTCGCGCGTAATATTGCTGTCGCTACTGTGCGACGGGCGGCCACAGTGAGTGTGCGAGCGATAAGGATGGGTAGCTCGGGGTCATCGGACGAAATTCGACGTGCTCGGCGACCCTACTTTAGTCGCTATCCTGACTGTCGATTGTTTTTTCGCGACGCCTTAAATACTGCTACAAGGCGTCGGTGCGCGCGACAGACGGCTTTCTAGAGCAGACGCGCGGGTGCTCCACGTCTAGTGACCATTACCAGTGTATTTGTCGCACCAGCCGTCCGCAGCAAGGGTGAGTTTAGTTAGTGACGTGACTTAATGTCCTATGTCTCCTAGATGGGGTAGAGGGCGTCCACAACAGTCCTCCATCGCGTTTGATCTTAAGCTTCTCGTTTGATCTCGCTCCAAGTCTTGCCGATTTTCTTCGCCTCGTCTTCTACAGTGCGCCGCCAAGTTTTCTTGGGGCGACCACGTTTGCGTTTTCCTTGGGGGTTCCAATCCAGAGCCTGCTTGAGGATGTGATCGGGGTCCCTTTGGAGAGTGTGGCCGATCCAGTTCCACTTGCACTTGGACGCTGGTCGGCCTTAGTAAGGACAATCTGTTCAGGTGGGGATTCTCGGATGGCTCAAACTTGGAGTGCAAGTGTGGTTTTGTTCCCCAGTCGACGAAGCACATGATGTCGTGCCCTGCGTGCCCAAACAACTGCACGCAGGAAGATTTAACGAAGGCTACCGACAACACCATTTTTGTGGCGGAGTTTTGGGCCGACGCTGTGTAGGTTTGTTGTCAACACGACAAAAAGAAGAAGTTCCACTTGCGGCGCTTGATCTGCTTATTCTTTCTAAGGCCCAGAACAGACGGTGAAACGCAACTACAACGATACTGCAACTTTCTGATGATTCTGATGAATGAAACTGAAATTGAAAGTTTCAAACTGGTCGCGTCATTTGTGGTCTCTCAACGGACGCTATGGCAGAAACTTAGATGCTCAAAAGTAACTAGCAGTGGCAGTTTCGTTGCAGTTGCGTTTCACCGTCTGTTCTGGGCCTAAATGACCTGTTGTATTTCAGCAAGCGTCACGCGGGCCAGCTGAACATCACGTGCTGCCAGGGCGACCTGTGCAACGACGGCAGCTTCCCCGCGCTGCCGCCAGACGCCGCCGTGGAGCCGCTGGCCGGCGGCGCCTGGAAGCTGTGGGCCAGTGTGGGGGCTTCCGTGCTGGCCGTCAGCGCTATCGGCGCTATGGCCATCTTCGTACTGAGGAGGAGTCACAGGTATGAACACCATACAGCCTTTTGTCGCTCTCCCATCGCGCATCTTAATGTTGCGCAGGAGTTTTAGCGCATCAACCTCTGATTCTAGACCAGCATCTTCCATAGTATAGCTAGCAGCATCTGGGCGCTTCTGAGCTGGCATGAAGACCAAACATCTGCCCCTTAGACTAGTACTAGTGTTCCACAGTGGGTTCACCATAATAGTCCAGCAGACGGTGGGGATCTAACCAGTGTTCCTCGGATCTTGAATCAACAACAAACTCTGCCTCTAGACTAACGTTCTCCAACCCCGCCATCGGTGTCTTTTGGTAGCATCTTTATGTTGCGCAGGAGTCTTAGCGTATCAACCTCTGATTCTAGACCAGCATCTTCCATAGTATAGCTAGCAGTAGCAGCATCTGGGCGCTTCTGAGCTGGCATGAAGACCAAACATCTGCTCCTTAAGACTAGTGTCTAGTACTAGTGTTCCACAGTGGGTTCACCATAATAGTCCAGCAGACGATGGGGATCGAATCAGTGTTTCTCGGATCTTGTATCAACAACAAACTCTGCCTATAGACTACCGTTCTCCAACCGCGCCATTGGTGTCTTTTGGTAGCATCTTTATGCTGCGCAGGACTCACAGGTGAGACTAAACCACTGCCTATCGACTAGCATCTTCCATGGCTAGCAGATCCTGCGTGCTCCTTTTCCTTCTACTACGAAAAACGTTATCCCGAAGTTTCGAATGTTGCCATCCCTCTCACGCAAAACTAGTTGCCAGCATGATCGACAGTGACAGACCCGAAACTACGTAAACTTCGTTCCGGAGTAGTCCTCCTGGTAGCGTCACGCCAGCTGACGTCACGTGCTGCCGCCAGACGCCGCCGTGGAGCCGCTGGCCGGCGGCGCCTGGAAGCTGTGGGCCAGTGTGGGCGCTTCCGTGCTGGCCGTCAGCGCTATTGGAGCTATGGCCATCTTTGTACTGAGGAGGAGCCACAGGTATGAACTGACAGCTTCTGATCTAGCATTCTCCAAACAATTGGTGCCTATTGATGGCATCTTGGTGCTGCAAAGGAGTCTCAAGTAAGTCTAAACTTCTTTGCCTCTAGTGTGGTTTAACAGCAGCTGTGGAGCGCTGGCCAGCAGCGCCTGGAATCTCTGAGCTAGTTAGTATCGGGGCCTCTGTGCTGGCTGGTAGTGTTATTGGGGCTATGACCATCTTTGTACTGAGGAGGAGCCACAGGTAACTACTGTCCCCGTAGAAAAGAGCCCTTACTCGCTCTTGAAGGCAAAGGATTTACAGACTCTTTACCTCTAGACTAGTGTCTAGAAGCTGTGGACCTCTTTGCTGACTGTCAGCGCTATCGGGGTATGGCCATCTTCGTGCTGAGGAGGAGTCACAGGTAACTACTGTCCACAATCTGTGTCTTTAACCAATTCCCCAAAAAGGCTAATTTTTAACTACTGTCCCCGTGGAAACAAGCCCTTAGCGCTCTTGAAGGCGAGGTGCTGCAGATTTTGGGGATTCCTCTTGTGGACCTTGTATAAAATTCAACAGCCTGCTTACAAAACTTTAATTTTGTAAGTAGGCTTTTAAAAAGCACTTACAGGTCCCAGTATTAACCCTATCACTGCTTCGAGTCAATAAATGGGCCAGTGCTTAGAAGAAGCAGCGTAAGAAACTCAGTCACTATTACACTATATTTTTGTGTTGTTGGTAGGAAAGGTGTAGTTATTCAGTTCTTAACCTTTAACCGACGACGTGATTTTTTTGTCACGCCGTCTGCGACGTGCGGTCTGTGGGACCGCTATACTGTTTACTCAAAAAGTAATATTTTTTTGTATGAAAGTATGTTGGTTTTATATTTTTTGAGAACATTATAGTATTACAAATAAACATACGTATAATTTGCGAGGAATCAATGTATATTTTTTATTTAAATATGGCTAAAACTTTTTGACCCTTAATTTCATTGAAATTACACTAGAGCTCAATAATACCTACATAACTTGTAAACTTTAATCAAAGCAAGAAAAACGATACTCCTTCCTAAATAAAGTGAACATAATGGATAAAATAAAAATAAATAACACGTACATTACATGCACAAAAAAAAATTGACGTAGGGTAAACATCAGGCAAAATCAGGTCATTTTTTTTACTGCATGCCAAGCATTTTCGGAATGCATAGGTAACACCTGTAAGATAATTTCGTTTTCAATTTAGATGGACTAAAATGTACGTCTTTTTTGCAGCTGTTTCAATGACATCAGGCTGATTTGGAATGTCAGAGCCTAGAATACATGTCACTGTTTGCTTTACCACCCGTTTCGCGGTATTTTTTTACAGACTACCATCTTTTACATAATATTATGTTCAAATATCAATATATCATTAGGAAATGTCTTTTCCTAGGTTGTGGTGGCCCAGGATCCATCATTTTTACGAAAAATTAGTCGTCTAAAACAAAAACGCCAGTTTCAGTATGGTACAAAAATGTCACGTAGTCTGCGACGTGCGGTCCCACAGACCGCTGTTGAACTTTAAATCGAATTATCTTATTAAAACTGCCCTCGTCGATGTAACCACTACCTGTAATGGCGTTTGGGCAACTAAACTCGAAGGTACTGAGACGCTCGGGACACGGGAGTAAGTAGAACATTGCAATCCAGAAATTTCAAAAACCGGAGCGGTCTGTGAGACCGCACCTCGTCGGTTAAAGGTTAAAAAGCTTTTCTTTTTCAGGCTTCGCGTGTCTCGGGCAGCACTGCACAAGCTGGGAGCTGATTCAAACTACTTCTCAAGCAACGTATACAGTCCGCAAGTCACCAGTGCCTACTATGAAGGTTAGTTCCTAAATTCAAGGAAGTCTCAACACTTCCTTTAGAAAAAAAAAACAAACAGCAATTTTTTCCATTTAAAAATTAACTATCGAGTGACTCGATGTTAAAATTGATATATTTGTAAAGATTTGGCATCAATATTGATCGCTAGCCGTACAGAATGTTGAACGACTCCATTTATTTTTAACTAGCTTTCCTCCCGCGGCTTCACCCGCGTGGAATTTTGTCTGTCACAGAAAAACTTTATCGCGCGCGTCCCTGTTTCAAAAACCGGGATAAAAACTATCCTATGTTCTTTCCCGGGACTCAAACTATCTCTATGCCAAATTTCATCAAAATCGGTTGCGAGGTTTAAGCGGGAAAGCGTAACAGACAGACAGACAGACAGAGTTACTTTCGCATTTATAATATTAGTTGGGATTCCTCAGGCGTGGACGGATCCCAGAACGGCGGCGGGCTCCGCGCGGTGGCAGCCGGTGACTCCACTCTACGGGAGTACCTGGAGTGCTCCGTGAGCTCGGGCTCCGGCTCCGGCCTGCCGCTCATGGTGCAGCGGACGCTGGCCAAGCAGGTCACGCTGCTCGACTGCGTCGGCAAGGTACCGCAGCCCTAGCGCTCCGCATCTGGGGCCCTAACGCTGCGCATCTGGGGCCCTAACGCTCCGCATCTGGGGCCCTAACGCTCCGCATCTGGGGCCCTAACGCTCCGCGCAACCCTAGCGCTCCGCATCTGGGGCCTGGTAAATACGTGGGAACGAGTGAAACACCGGGCTGCTCGTAATGCACTGAGTGTATTCGGCGTACGTTCGTGTGGTGTCGTGGCACGCACATAGGTATAACTATACACTAGGGCCCTAACGCTGCGCATCTGGGGCCGTAACGCTCCGCAGCTGGGGCCCTAACGCTCCGCATCTGGGGCCCTAACGCTCCGCAGCTGGGGCCCTAACGCTCCGCATCTGGGGCCCTAACGCTGCGCATCTGGGGCCCTAACGCTCCGCATCTGGGGCCCTAACGATCCTCATCTGGGGACTCCACGCTGATGGACTGCGTCGGCAAGGTACCGCAGCCCTAGCGCTCCACTGCAGACTCGGGCTCCGACCTGTCGCTTCACTCAACTTGATACAATAGATAGACTCATCTATAAAGGGAAAGGTCACTGATTGACTGACTGACTCACTCACTCATCCCGAAATCTCAGAAACTACAAGTGCTAGGAGTCTCAAATTTTGCAAGGTCCTTTTAGAACGTAGGTGATCGTTAAGAACAGATTTTACGAAATTCCACCCCTAAGGAGGTAACTCGATCCACGCGTACGAAGTCGCGGGCGGCCGCTAGTTGAAAAAAAGTAGTAGTAGTAATGAACACCTGTATGTAGGTCGATAAGACCCACATGAAGACGGCTGAGCACGTGGGCAGGCCTCCCACTAGGTGGACCGACGATCTGGTGAAGGTCGCGGGAGGTACCTGCATGCGAGCGGCGCAGGACCGTTCATTGTGGAAATCCTTGGCCTTTGTCCAGCAGTGGACGTCTTTCGGCTGAAACGAACGAAGACGGCTGAATAAAAATACAGAGATCATTATTTTTAGCATACTTTGACCGCCACATATGCATAAAAATATATAATGCTTAAGAAATGTAAAGTTAGTCATAAATGTTTTGCGATGTACCGATTGGCGCCATTGTAGAGTAGGTACGCTCCCTGTGACTTTGACATAGGCGCCAACTCGTTCATTTTGAATCGTGTATGTAATGTAGCCGTTTCCCCAGGGCCGCTACGGCGAGGTGTGGCGCGGCTCGTGGTACGCAGACAGCGTGGCGGTGAAGATATTCTTCTCGCGCGACGAGGCTTCCTGGCGACGAGAGACAGAGATTTATAGCACGGTTTTGTTACGACATGACCATATACTGGCGTATGTGGGCAGCGATATGACCAGTCGAGGGAGTTGCACGCAGGTACGCATCATCAAGTCAAAAGACAATGCCGGAAATTGGCGTCTTTTTTTTTTCGCGCGGCCATCGACCAAACTTTGTTTTTTGATTACAAAATAGTGTAATAAACCAAACTTACTATGACATGTATACCTCAGTCTGAACTGAGTTACGAGCATTAGAAGTTTGATGATTTTCATACTAGATTTGCTTTTTGCGCGCAAAGTTTTGTAAGAAATTGCAACAAAATAGTGAGATTGTATGTGTGAACAAACAATACCATCCATTAAAGGCTCCAGACATCAGTGTGGAGCAGAATCAGCGCAATAAAAAATTAGCGCAATATTTTGTTGCAATTTCTTACAAAACTTGCGCGCAAAAAGCAAATCTAGTATGTAAATCATCAAACTTCTAATGCTCGTAACTCAGTTCAGACTGAGTTTAGAGGTATACATGTCATAGTAAGTTTGGTTTATTACACTATTTTGTATCTAAAAAACATGATTTGGTCGATGGCCGCGCGAAAAAAAAAAGACGCCAATTTCCGGCATTGTCTTTTATTCAGTACTTAAGCTTCCACCACACCAACGCGTGCAGATCGCCATCGGCGGCGCGATCAAAGACCAATGACAGGTCGCGCGACCTATGACAGTTCATGCGACCTGTCATTGGCCTTTGAACGCTTCGTGATCGTGCTGATCAGCACGCGTTGGTTTGGTTGAAGCATTAGGCCTTTTTAGGGCACTTGTACATGTCAACGTGAAATTGTGAACTCTGTCAGTTTATAATATAATAGATTGTAAACTAACAGTGGGTTAGGTTAGGTTAGATTGTAATTTAACTACGTCAGATTATACGTCACAATTTTACGGTGACATACACATACGAATATAGCTTGCCCTACCGCCAAATGTCTACTTCCAAATACGTCATCAGAAGTTTCGAATATTTCCATCTCTATCACGCAAATTGGCATGCTAGCAAGAGCGACAGTGACAAATAGACCCGAAACTGCGTAGCGTTACGGGGTAACACTGAAACTCATTTAGTCCTCTGTTGGACCGGACCTTGTCTAGGCTAGTGCTGGATTTGGGATCACTTCTCACACTGGTTAGACGTTCAACATATTCTCCGTCATTTAAAACATATTTTATATCGACAATTCAAAAATTTTTGTAGATTTCATCGATATTCACTTCACTCACCAGTTGGCGCTATTAACGAATACGGTCCTGTTACTTAAAAATGGCGTCAACTGGTGCCAACGGTGTTTAAAGTCAGGATTTCCCAAACTTGTTTTGACTGTGATGCCCTTGGGAATTTGTCATATTCTGTCCTGTTTTAAGAGCGTTGTCACATTTTTCATGCAGAAATCGAGAATTTGGCAGATTTCGAAATGATTTTAGTCATATAATTTATTGTTATAGCTTCTTTTGACTTATATCATCGTAATTATCATACGTTTTTACGGAATGTCTATTGACAAAATCTCGTTCAAATTGGATTTTTGCCTACGAAAACAGCGAATTTCGAAAGCCCGATTTCCAAGTAACTCGCGAATGCACAACTTTGAACTAATATTACAACAAANCATTTGTAACAAACCGAAGACAAATAACATAAACACACCAGTACGATCTGCAATACTAAATGCGGAAGACGCAAATGTTACTTTGAGAAAAAATTGCAAGTCGAACAAACTTTCTCCAGTTGAACCGTCGTCGGCAGAAACAGAAGAAACTTCGATAGGTAGCTGAAAACTTATTGAATGATAAAAGCCTACTGGGTGACACAATTACATCCCGCATGTCTCATATACTGCCATGTCGACGTGAAACGCCTAATAGTGGATCTACACTCACCCTTGACCAAATCAACACACTTCTCGATAAGAAACTGGAACAAAACGAAAATAAAATAGTTGAACTCTTAAAAAATGCAATAAAATCACTTGTAAAACAAGAACTCCAGGACTCAATACAACAAATTAATAATAGTCTAAGATCCCGCTATACAACGACCTTCACCGAGATGCTTATTTGATGAAACATATTTTATATACAATTTAACATGTCAATAATTATATTGCTTAAGGGTTGCCTAATAAATTTCAGTCCAC